CAAGCAGGCTCCACATGGTTAGCACAGAGCCCAACATCAGACTTGAACTCATGAAACTATGAGACCTTGACCCGAGCTGAAACCAAGAGTCAGACGCTCTACTGACTGAGCCACCCAGGCACCCGTAATTTTATCTTTTATAGCAACATTGTCTTACGGCCAATTAGTTAATGTGGCCAAAATGCTTCCAGCAAAGATGTTTATGGTGAAACTACCTAGAGCCCTCCCACAGACAGCAAATGTACTAACGCCTCACATATGTCTCAATTACCTGTATTAAGAGTCTTCAACTCAATACTTTCAGGAACAAGGCAGGTAGCATGATGCATGAGACCCACTGGCTGGGCACTGGGCCCCACTGATTAGCTCCACTATGTCTGTTGCAAAATTCTAGCAGGAACCACAGGCCCAATCTAATAGATTTTTTTTCTTGCGGTGGGATCTCTTCATTTTTATGTGTTGGCAACTATTTCTTTTTTTTTCTTTTTCTTTTTTAGAGAGAGAGCGGGGGAGAGGGGCAGAGGGAAAGAGAGAGAGAGACAGAGAGAGAGAGAGAGAGAGAGAGACTGAGAATCTCAAGCTCAGCATGGAGCCTGATGAGGGGCTTGATCCCACAACCCTGGGGTCATGACCTGAGCTGAAATTAAGAATCAGATACTCAACCGACTGAGCCACCTAGGCACCCCACTGATACATATTTTTAGAGATGCTCATTTTACTCTGAGAAGGGGCTGTTTTTAGCAGGCAAAGCATAATTAGAGGAAGGGATGTTCAATAATCAGAAATTGTGGTTTTTTATTCTTGGCTATGGTCCTAAGCATGCAATTGTTTTTCTGATTTTTTTTTTTTTATGCAGGGTTTTGAAGTTCAGGCAGGCCATTACTCTGTTTTTAAATTCCATTTGTTTGAGTTGGGCACGTGTGAGTTAATAATGAGGAAGTGTTATGGCAAGGGACACTCATGACATCACTACCACCTGGGCTGCCGAAATCCTGGAGACCTTGCCAAGCCCCAGTGAGTTGCCCCAGGCCTTGCAAAAGCCAAATCACTGAACAGGAAGGGTGAAGGACTTGTTAGTAGGTGCAAAGTTTGGGGCATTCTGTGTTTTAGTGCCAAAGGCGAAACATCTGGCGAGGTGTAGTTGACTTAACTCAACTGCAAGGACAATTTCAGTGCAGTTGAAATCCTGGCCATGCTCTGTCAAATTCTCTAGAAGTCACACATTGGGATGTCTATAGGGACCTGGACGGTAACATAGAAGAGGCTACATGGTCCAAGGGAGGGCTCCCTGTCCCGTCTTAAGGGAGAAACCCCTGCTCTATTCATGCTGCTTGTTGCTGCATAGAAGGAAGGGCCAGGGTTGCCGAACCAATCTTCAGATTTTCCGAAAGGAGCTGCAGATAGGGATTTTTAAATAGCAAGCCTTTCCTTTTTTAAATGTTGCTGTGTAATTAGAATTTAAAAATGCAACCACCCACAGAAAGGGAGAAAATATTTGCAAATCACATATCTGATGAGGGACTTGCATCTAGAATATATAAAGAACGCTTACAACTCAATACGGAGAGGGGCGCCTGGGTGGCTAAGCGTCCGACTTCAGCCAGGTCACGATCTCGCGGTCCGGGAGTTCGAGCCCCGCGTCAGGCTCTGGGCTGATGGCTCAGAGTCTGGAGCCTGTTTCCGATTCTGTGTCTCCCTCTCTCTCTGCCCCTCTCCCGTTCATGCTCTGTCTCTCTCTGTCCCAAAAATAAATAAACATTGAAAAAAAAATTAAAAAAAAAAAACAAAACAACTCAATATGGAGAAAAACAATCCAATTTTAAAATGGGCAAAGAATCTAAATAGCTATTTCTCCAAAGGACATATGTAAACGGCCAATCAGCTGGTGAAAAGAAGCTCAACATGATTAGCTATCAGGAAATGCAAATCAAAACCACGAGACGCTATTTTTTATTTATTAAGATGGCTAAAATAAAGAAGAAAGATAATAGCAAGTGTTGATTGGGTTGTGGAGAAATTAGAACCGTCGCACATTGCTGGTGGGAATGTGTAATGGTGGAGCCACTTTGGAAAATAGATTAGCACTTCCTCAAAAGGTGAAACATACAGTGACCATATGACTCAACACTTCTATGCCTACATATATACTCAAGAGAAATGGAAGCATGTCCACACAAAAACTTGTCCCTGAATGTTCGTAGAAGCATTATTCACAATATCCAAAGAAAGTGGGAACAACCCAAATGTCCATCAGCTGATGAATGGAAAAAAAAAAGGATTATCTGGAAAAAAAAAAAAAAGGAATTACTACAACATGGATAAACCCCGAAAAAAATTATGCTAAATGAAAGAGGCCAGTTACAAAAGACCATATACTGTAAGATTCCATTTATGTGGGGCACCTGGGTGGCTCGGTTGGTTAAGCGTCTGACTTCGTTAGACGAAGTTCTAAGTTTGAGCCCCGCATTGGGCTCTCTGCTGATAGCACAGAGTCTGCTTCAGATTCTGTGTCTCAGTCAGTTAAGTGTCTGATTTCAGGTCAGGTCATGATCTCGTGGTTCATGAGTTCAAGCCCCGCATTGGGCTCTGTGCTGACAGATCAGAGCCTGGAGCCCGCTTTGGATTCTGTGTCTCCCTCTCGCTCTACCCCTTCCCCGCTCATGCTCTGTCTCTCTCTCTTTCAAAAATAAATAAAAACATTGAAAAAAAAATTCCATTTATGTGACACCTCAAGAAGAGGCAAATCTATAGAAAGTAGATGAGTGGTTGCCTAGAGTTAGAAAGGATGGAGAGAAATAGGAAGTAAATGCTAAAGGATGCAGGTTTCTTTTCCGGGTGATGAAAATGTTCTAAAATTGAATATACTAAAAACCATTGAGTTGCATACTTTAAGCAGGTAAATTGTACGGAAAGTATGGAAAGTGAATTATATCTCAATAAAACTGTTATGAAAAAGGGATATAGTGAGAGCCACACAAAACATATCTGCCAAGCTGTCAACTTTGAGCCTTTTGATTAGAACTTGATCAAATGCACAGCAGGTCTGGAAGGAGCTGGTCAAATACAAAATTCCTAGGAAATTGGAGAGGGGGGTGACCTGCCAGTTCTAAAGTCACACGCCTGTTTAGTGGCAGACCCAGGGCCAGAGCTTGTCTCTTGACCTTTACCTCTCGGCCATGCTGTTTCTATCCAAAGCCCAGCTTTCAAGGCACAGCCAGGAAGGGATTGTGAAAAGTCAACATCAGGAACAGCTGGATATACTCTCATCCCTTTCCCACATTTTACAAAGACTTCTCAAGGAAAGGATAAAATATGGTAAAAAGAAATCCTCCTTAAAGGAAGAGACAGACATAGTGCTTTCCTGAGCCTCTTGTGCTATATCATGGGAAGGTCTGCATGTTTCAGTCACTTACTCTGTATGTTCCTGATTCATTTACACTTAGCTCATCATTATGTTGTTTGTGCAAGAACCATTTGATGTCCAAGAAATCCTTGGGGTGTATTTAAGTTAAAAAAGATTTTTTTTTTAATTTGAACTGAAGAACTGAACTTTGCCAAGAGTAAATAGAACTCAGATATCAAAAGGTCTGAGTTCAGTTTTCACTGAATACAAAGGGTGAGTGGATTCTGAGCTGAGCCAAATGCATTCTCCCACCCTTAATTTATAGTACATTGTTTTGGCAGACGCTACAATCCCCAAAGTTGGCTTTTCTTCCCCCATTCCTTTCTAGGGTGTAACCACAAGCCTATCTTTTGGTTAACTTTACAAAAAAAAAAAAAATAAGGCCATATTGTAACAATTTATGAGAGCCTCACTCATCACTGGTTCTATGACTATCAATTTTATTAGTACAAATTGAAATGTTTGAAAAGGTTAAACCTCTCCTCTGAAGTTGTAATTTTGTTTGATATCCTACCAGAATTTTTAGTTTTTCAGTCCTTTTATCTGGGGTTTTTATCAAAAGGATGTTGCCTGCTTTCCCCCATCTATGGTCAGGCCATCAACCAGTTATTAAGTTGAATACTGGAGGGCTACTCTGCCTGATGTGCTCAGATTTGGAGAATAGAACAGGTCCTTCATTTATCTTTAAAGGAGAAAGGGTCAGAGAAATGAGTAGTATTTTGAGGGTTTTTTTTTTTTTTGTTTAAATAACAAAACCAATCTTAAAACAAAGAAGCAGAGCAAAATTAAGATCACTCCAAATTCTGCCACCTCAAGATAAAGATTGTTAGCATTTTGTAAATCATTTTCCTTATTCTAAAAAATGTATCTACATTAGAAGAGATAGATGTATATACAGACTTATAAAATGGGATATTGCATTGTTTTGTAATCTACTTTTTCCATTTCTTAGTTCATGATTAATTATCAGTATTAATAAAATTATATCTACGTCATGCATAAAATAAGATTCAGTTGTACAGTTGGAATATAACTGAAATGATTCAGTGAGGAGTTTTTCGATGGCAAGTGAACAGCAAATCCGTGTCAAACTGACTTAAACACAAAGGGAAATGTTTAGGCTGACATGTGAAAAGCCCAGTGGGAGATTTGGTTTTGGGCATGGCGGGATTCAGGGCTCAGAGACGACTATGAAGTTTCTGCTTCTTTTCTTCGCTCTCTGCTCTGCCTTTGGCTGCTTTGGTGCTACTCACGTGTTGCACATAGAGGCAGCATCTCCAGAGAACACGCATCCAAATGCTTGATTGGCGGAAGGAAACAAAGCTCAGATCCAGTGCTCACCATGAAACTCTCGTTGCCCTAGTCCCATGGCAACCGCTGGTCCTTGACTACAGCTTATGCCTAGGTCATGAAAGACTCTTGGAATCCCAAGTGTTTCACTAGAATAACATAGATTGAGAGTGAGGGAACAAGGGAAGGAAGAAAGGATGCATCTTCAGAAGGAAGGAGAAGGATGGTTACCAAAAGAGAATGGATGAATAATATGTGGCCAAAAGAACAGTCCCATAATTCATACACCTTAACATTTAGAGCTCACCTGTATTATTTCCTGGGGCTTTTGTCACAAAGTACCACAGACTGGATGCCTCAAACAGAACGTTGTGTTCTCACAGTTGCGGAGGCTGGAACTTGAAGATTAAAGCAGGGTTGGTCTCTTCTGAGTGTCGTGAAAGAGAATCCGTTCCTTGACTCTCTCCTAGCTCCTGGTGGTTTGCGGGCAATCTTTGGCTTGTATGGAGATGCACCACCCTGATCTCTGCCTTCATTTTCACTTGGTGTTCTGTGTCCAAATATCCCCTTTGTGTAAGGATACGCCATATTAGATTAGGGATCCAGCACTTCAGTATGACCTCATCTTAATAATTATATCTGCAATGATTCTATTTCCAGATACCATCGCATTTTGAGGTACTGGAGGGTCGGGACTTCAACATGTGAATTGTGTGGGGGGGGGGGGGGCGGTTAGTTCAACGTATAATAGGTTTTCCCACACTTGATGTTTCTGGCCTCATCTAAGACCCATCTAGCCTGAGTTTGAAGGATGAATCTGGCTGCCTCTTTCTTTCCAGTGTATGGGTTAGGAGGTTGGATGAGGTGACCTCTAGGGTCCCTTCATTAAAGTGTTTGGGGGGCTAGGAATCCATCCTGCTGCCTGAATGTATACCACAGAGCCCCACCACTGACTAGTCACTTGGGCAAGTGACTTAACCTCTGCAAACCTCTACTAGACTTAACCAGTAAAATGAGGATAACAGTCCTTTACTCATTGGGTTGTTGTCGGCCAGGCTCATAGCACTCAGTAAATGTTAGGGACTCGTCCATCTCTTCAAACATGTGGGGACCGAAGAGTCAGAAGAACCTGCTGTGACCTCAGTGTTCTCACCTTTTGTGATGATTCAACTCAACGACCTCTCTCGGAGTTTGTCCCAGAAGTTTCAAAGGGGGAGAGGTGCCTTTTTCTCCAGCAAACCGGAATTCAAATCCAGTCCAGGGAACACCAAGTATTTCTCTTTCTCCTCCAAAGCCAGATGCTGTAAATTCTGAGCAGACTCCTCCCAGACGATGTGATTACGAAATACCTGTTTCTTTTATGTCCCATTTATCTGTCTCTCTGACATTTCCTTTTTTCTCTTACAACTTGATCTTTGCCACCATCTATCAGATGTGGTCTGGAACCAGTCATTTTATTTATAATCTCTCTCTTTTTGGCTCTAGAAATTTGGGGAAATGGAACAGCTGTCTGCTGCCTTTCAAGGCACCACATCTTTTAGTTCTTTCATACTTTTTCTACAGGGCCTGATTTAGCTTGTCTAAATGCGTATTGAATAAGAACCAGAACTTTAAGTTCTTACAGGCAGCAGAACCTATTTGATATAGGGGTATTAGGTCTTTCCTGAGGGTCAAAGCAACCAGTATAGGTCACCTTTTAAAAACGTGGTCACTTTCACTTAGCAAATATTTCCTAAGTGCTGACTCTGTGCCGGGTGCTGTTCTGAGCACCAGGCTCCCTTACCCTTGAGGACTGTACATTCTAGGGACATTCATTCATGCAGAAAATAGACAATGAGAACCTACTACATGTCAGGGATTGTCATTCATTAAACAATACAGATACAGTCCCTGCATTGATGGCCATGTTGTGTGTGTGTGTGCACTTTTGTGTGTGGAGAAGAGGGGACAGAAGACAATACACCCAAGTACATTTTTATTGTAGTAAAAGGTGATAAGCACTATGAAAAAAAATATAGCAGAGTAAGGGGGATTAGGAGTGGTGGGGAGGTTGCTTTTAGTTTTTAATTTTTAATTTTATTAAAAACATTTTAATATAATTTATTGTCAAATTGGCTTACATATAAGACCCGGTGCTCATCCCAACAAGTGCATTTTTCAATAGGGTGGTCAGAGTATGTTTCTTTGAGAGGATGCTACCTAAGCAAAGACTTGAAGGCAAGGTGAGAGAAAGGTGAGGAAGAGAGCCGAAACGTTTGGAGGGAGAGCAAGGCCAAAGGCATGAGTGTGGCCAGCTTTTTCAAGGATAGCAAGGAGGCTAGTTTAGCTGGAGCAGAGCAAGCAAGGTGAGAACAGAAGGAAGTGAGGTTAGGGGCAAATCAAGCAGAGCTTTTAGCCTGAGTGACACGAGGAACCACCAGAAAGTGCTAAGCAGAGTAGCAAAACGATCTCAGACTTCAAAGGATTGAAACGCTGGCTGCAGTGTTTCCGCTGGACTGTGCAGGTGCTGGGTGGCAGCAGGGAGGCCAGTGTGATCAGTCACACAAGTGCGTCAGACCAGAGCAGGGACAGGTGGGGTGGGATTAGAGATTTATTTTGAAGACAGGCCAACACGATTTTTTGACCGACTGGATGTGGTGTTTGAACGGAGAAGGCGGGGATGACTCCATGGTGTTGTCCTGAGCATGTGAAAGAATGGAGTAGCCACTGAGATGGCCAAGACTGATGGAGCACAGTTTTTGCCTTGGTGAGTTGGGCTGGGAGCGTGGTTCAGATATGTTAAGTTTGAGGTGCCCGTTGCTCTCCAGGTGGAGCGGCTAGGTGGATTTTGAAGTTGCCCGAAGAAGCGATTTTGGGGGACAGCTCTAAAGTCTCAGAGAGACCCCGCAGCGGTACTATCGGAACTCACCTCGTTTCCCCTCCTCTCTGCCCTCCTAAGGGCAGGAACATCCCTGGAGGGCAGCTCTTCGCGCCCCAGCCCCTTTAGCCTGCAAAGCCCCCTTTTTTTTCCTCTTTGGGAAAAGGCGAGAAAAACCAACAGAAATGATGCTCCGTGGCACGACCTCCACCTCTTAACCCGCCGCAGGGGAAGAGGCAAGGCCTGCTGGGGTGGAAACCCGGACACACTTCCTGCTTCCCGCCTCCCTGACAGCAAGCCTTGGAGCTGCGGGCTTGTGGGCGGGGCCCTCGGGCGGGCGGGGCCGCGGCGCGAGCGCACGCCACAGAAGGGGGCGTGGCCCCTCGGCTCGCGCGCTTGCAGCCTGCGCGCCTGCCTCGCTCCTTCCTGCTCTTCCCAGGGTGATCAGCTGGTCTGCGCTCCCCTGACGTGGGCCGGGGCACGTCACCGCCGAATGGCAGCCTCCAGAAAGGCACCGCGAGTAAGGTGAGGGACTCTGCCGGGGAGCCGGCGTCTGGGCAGCGCGTGATTCCGGGCGCCGGGCGCGCATGTGGCACCCTGGAGGGCTGGAACTAGAGGGTGAGAAGCGGCAGGCGGCCCATCACAGTCCGGCGAGGGCCCTGGCTTTCGGGAGACCCCCAAGCGGGAGCAGGGGGAGGGAGCCATGCAACCGGGCAAGTTCCGTTTCGTTTCAGGAGGGCTGCGGGCACCCTCGGGCAGCCTGGTCCCGGTTCCCGGATGAGCGTGTCCGCGGAGCGGCATCGCTGGGTCGGAGGGGCGGTGGCCGTGTCCCACCTCTCCCCCTGGCCCAGCGGGAAGGCCTAGGCTGTTGCAGGAAGTTGGCCCCTCCAGGCGCCTCCAGGTGTCCTGGGAAGTGGAAGAGCCCCTGCTCTCGCCCTCTTCCCGGGGAATATAATTCTCAAATTGCAACCCTGACAATACTGATACCGGCAATTCGCCTTACTGATCGCAGCCGCCACGAAGATGGGGAGCTGCAGGCCCATCCCCACCCAATTGGTTTCAGAGACTGTGTAAGGGAATACTTCGGCATAATCTCTAGAAAGATCCCACCAGTAACCTGCCCTGGGCTCTCCCTGGGCACAGGGAGGTGAGAAGGATAATCTCCTGGTCTCAAACACATTTCAGTTTATACTCCCCCCACAACCAGGGTATACTTATTACAGCAGCTAACAAAGTGGGAGACTGAGAAACGTTCAGAGATCACAAAGGCCAGAAGCCAAATTCCCTGCCATGCACACGGGATCAGCCATCCTCAGACCAGTTGAGACTTGACTAAATACACCTGGCAGCATGGCCGGTCCCACTTGCTGAACGCGGACCATGGCTTGTACTTGTGATTGTGAGTGGACAGATCCAGAGCTGACCTTGACCTGGCCTTGGGCTTTCTATGGCATGCTTGGGATGAGTAGAAAAGCAGACCTGGCTTGTGGAAGGATGTGGGGCCTTGTGGCAAACCTGGTGTGGAAGGAGTTGCCAGTATGTTAAGTGCTGGAAATGGGGTTAGGTTAATGTGAGTTAGGTCCTAGACCCATAAGTAGCTTTGAGGACCAAGATTAGATTATAGAATCACAACATTTTAGGGGCAGAAGGGTCTTTTGGCATCAGTTGGCAAAGCCTCCACACGCAGAAGGCAACTGAGAGACTGAGAAGGGACATTTGCCCCAGGCCCCTCCCCTAGTGGCAGAATTTGAGTGCTATTCAGTGTAAAAATGAGAACTTCTTGCATTTCAGGTAAAATTGATTTAGGTAAAAAAGGGGTTGAGCTGACTTCTAGTGCAGCTCAGTCCAGGAGACCAACACTGGCATGAGACTTGGCCTCTTTTTTTTGTATCTCTTGGCTCTGTTTTCTTTTTTTTTTTTCATAGTTTTCTTTTTTCTTTTTTAAAATTTACATCCAAATTAGTTAGCATATAGTGCAACAATGATTTCAGGAGTAGATTCCTTAGCGCCTCTTACCCATTTAGCCCATCCCCCCTCCCACAGCCCCTCCAGTAACCCTGTTCTCCATATTTATGAGTCTCTTCTGTTTCGTCCGCCTCCCTGTTTTTATATTATTTTTATTTCCCTTCCCTTATGTTCATCTGTTTTTTTCTCTTAAAGTCCTCATATGAGTGAAGGCATATGAGTTTTGTCTTTCTCTGACTAATTTCGCTTAGCATAATACCCTCCAGTTCCATCCATGTAGTTGCAAATGGCAAGATTTCATTCTTTTTGATTACCGAGTAATACTCCATTGTATGTATATACCACATCTTCTTTATCCATTCATCCATCGATGGACATTCGGGCTCTTTCCATACCTTGGCTATCGTTGATAGCGCTGCTATAAACATGGGGGTGCATGTGTCCCTTCGAAACAGCACACCTGTATCCCTTGGATAAATGCCTAGTAGTGCAATTGCTGGGTCGTAGGGTAGTTCTATTTTTAGTTTTTTGAGGAACCTCCATACTGTTTTCCAGAGTGGCTGCACTAGCTTGCATTCCCATCTTGGCTCTGTTTTCTTAAGTGTTGGCTTCGTTCTCAGGCAGACTTTGTCCTTATGGGTGGTATGATGGTTCTAAGCTGGCAGCCCCAGCAGAAATAGAGACTTCTTTCCTAATGGCTGGAGCACAAATCCCAGATCTGATTTCCAGTAGGCTGACTTGACCTAATGTTTATCCCTGAACTAGTTGTTGTGATCGCAGGGATAGATTGCCCAGGTGTGGGTCCCAGAAGTTGGTGGGTGAGGGGATGAGACTCATACCAACTCTGTGGACGGAAAATGGACATGACACTGTCTTAGATGGAAACCATTGTGCTTTGACCAAAGGAAGGAGGGAGGGATGGATTTGGGGTAGGAAAAGACCACATTTCCCACTTCTGCATCTTAAAACTTATTTCACTCTACCCTTACCTTATTAGACGTGATTGAGCATCTTTTTTTTTTTTAAGTTTATTTTATTTATTTTGAGAGAGAGAGAGAGAGAGAGAGAGGGAGAGAGAGAGAGAGAGAGAGAGAGAGAGAGAGCGAGGGCACGGAGGCGGGGCAGAGAGAGAGGGAGAGATTCTCCAAACAGGCCCCGCACCATTAGCACAGAGCCTGACACGGGGCTTGAACCCACGAACCATGACATCATGACCTGAACCGTAACCAAGAGCTGGATGCTTAATTGACTGAGCCACCCAGGTGCCCCATGTTGTGATTCAGGATCTTGATCCTTGTTTTGTCCCATCCTGAATGATAATTGTGCGTGATTCTCATCACCGACCTGGGTAAGGGGGAGAATAAGCACAACCCTGCCGGCGTTTCTTTGTAAAATGGGAGAAAGATGTGCCCCTCCCATCTTATGCAAAGATTGAACGGGAAGTTCTCTGCACGCTTTTTCCCCTTGGTACATCATGATGTTGAGAACGTATAGGTCGAGGAAGCTCTGTGTTGGAAGTTGGGAGGCCTGGACTGTAGTTCTAGACTAGCTCTGTCACCCAGCTAGCTGTGAGGCTTTGAGCAAGTCATTTGGTCTCTGTTTCTCAGTTCCTTTGTCTAGAGGAGGGAGCTGAGTTGGATGGTCCCTGAAGTGCATTGTACC